TGCGAACCCGGGTCTCCGGCGTAACCCAACAGGGAACCCGCAGCATGAGCTAAAGGGCACCTGGCTCAGCCCAGGCAGCTGAGGTCTCTGCTACGTGCAGGGAGGGCGATGACATCACTGTGCTCAAACTAGCTCCGCTACACTAACGATGTACCCTGGGCCCAGAAGTGGGCAGACACTAACAGATTAGAGCAAAGGGTTCTACAATCATGGAGCCACACGTGAGCAGGCTCTCACCCATTGTGTGGAGCTACCCCTTCAAAGAGTGAGAAGGCTTGATGTGGCAGATTTTAGACTATCCAAAGTTTTAGATAAGTATTCTACAATAAAATGGAAAGGTGCAAATAAGAGGAGACTATTTGGCCAGCACAAGTTATGTGGTTTCTGTAGACTCAGGATCTTATCCAGCCGTTTCCTGAAAGAACACGGGTTGGTGACGGGTGGTTGCTCCACACTTCCCCAGATATAGGCAAAGATATGCCTCCTGGTCTTAGTTCTAAATGGAGCTTTCCTTTTATATTCCCTATTTATTCCGTCTGATTTGTGCTGTAAGATCGTTTCTGAGGAAATTCATGGTGTTAACTTTGTCAGTCTTGAAAGGAGACTGAATACTTGAATCCTGTTCCCTTTGGGGCAGCATGGTGGCACAGTGGTCCGAGTTCTGGGGCCCTGGGTTCAGTTCCAGACCTGACGTGCTGTTTGTGTGAGTCAGAAGACCTACCGGTATGTCACTTGGCCCCCAGGAAAGTTTTCATTTGCGTCTGTGGCTGCCCTGCGGTGGACTAGCGTGTCATCCAGGGTGTATCCTGCCTTGCTCCCGTTGCTTGCTGGGATAGGCTCTGGCTCCTCCACAGCACTGAAGTGGTTAATTAAAGCAGTCAGAATATGAATAGATGGGGTTCCCTTTCTAGTCTTCTCAATTATAAAGCCAAAAAAAAACGTTTTGCTTCCTTTAGCCTGTCAATAAAGAACATTGTTCTGTGTTCAGACATTTTCTTGTTCTCTGAGTAGATTCCAAAGCAGCAGTCTTCGTCAGAACGTACTAATGCAATTAGACATTAAGGAAACCTAGAGCTAGATTTTGTGGCTTAAAAGCAGGAGATCCTTACGGTCCTCCCTGTATTTCACATCGATCCAGTGCAAATCAAAGAGGGCTGGAGGTATATACGGCGGCAGAGGAGTTTTTGCATGACATACACTTGCTCATTGCTGTAGAATCCAAGATGAAACTGAAACTTCAGTGCCTTGGAAGGATATCCCAGCAAGTAAAGGGTAGGAGCATGCTAGTTTTGATTAAAAGTACGCACAAACTTCTGACCCTAAACAACTATTGTTCGTTTGTGTATTAAACGACCCTGAAGTCCAAGGTTTGCTAAAAACTCCCAGAAAGCCAGCCTGTCCAGACAGGCAACGGGGAGCAAGGTGAGAGTCCATCGAAGTAGTTTGAAATTTTAAATTTTTCCCCGACACGGAAAGACGCTGCTATCGCTGGCTGTACCGTAACGTGGCACTTAGGAATGTCGCTGCAAAGATGAGGAAGAAGCGTGTGACTGTAAATTAGTACTTTAATTCGAATTGCAGGAAATGTGGTTTTTAAAAAGCTTTCGAGGTTTTGTGCTTCTATAGAAAGAATTGCGCTTTGACCAGTGATGGAGGTAGAGAGAATTTTAATTAAGAAAAAAAATGCATGACATTGAGATAGTTGGAACACTTAGAATGGTGTTTAAATTCAAACGGAGATGTAGAATTATTGACCTTTTTCACAAGGGGTGTCAAAGTGCTCATACTAGCAGTGGCAATGATGGATAATGTAGGGGACAGATGGTTTCAACTTGCATAGTAACATGGAGATATTTTTTTCTGCCAAGAAATCCTTCGTCTGCTCATGACATAGGCAGTTTGTGGGGAAAAACCTGCAGCAGCCGGCTGGCTTTGCCGTTCCCCGGGAGAAACAATCGCGGTACACCGTTAATTTTTGCGTGTGGATATGCTCAGACTATAAAGTCGCTGTTAAGACGGTATCGGATTCTCGAAGCGGAAGGTCGGAAGAGCTTGTTTCTTCTGCAAACTCGGAGACCAGGTGTGTGTATCGGGTCCCGTTGCCTTTGCCTGCGCTTTCCCGATGAGTGGACGATTTTACAGCATGAGCTGAGCTCAAGCTTGTGACACTTACTTTTTCAGCGCAGGCCTTAGGTGAACTGCTAATTTTGTCGGCTGCTCTTTTTTTTATTAGAAGCGCTTCTGTTTTATATAACACGTTTTATGCTCTGCAGCATGTGCTGGGGTACAGTTTGCACTTAATTCCCGCGTGTCTCCAGTGGTGCGATGATATTCGCTGTCGGTGTTTGCATTTTGCTTTATTATGGTTTTGACAGGTTTATTGCCCCATTATTAGGTCATTTACGGTAACGGGTGCATAGCCGTAGAGAGCTTCAGGGATTTAGCCTGTCAGCGGATTTCAAGGGAGACTGTGGACGCCCGTGGAGCTGCATGGGCAACAGGCTGTTTAAACGTAATAGAACCGATGCTTTAATTGTGTGCAAACATACTGCAGTCCATCCACCCATCTAACCGCTGTATCCAGTACAGCGTCGCGGGGAAGCCGGAGCCGATCCTGGCCAGCAGAGGGCTCAAGGCGGGGTACACTCGGGACTAGACACCTGCGCATCGCAGGGCGCACACACCCTCACTCGCGTCAGAGCCAGTTTAAAATCAACTTGCATTGCCTAGTTCTAGTTTTTCTGTTAGTGATTAATTTGGGGCAGCATCTATAACTCTTGGGAGAAATGTTTACACTGCAAGCCACAGTCCTATTTCAATTGGCTTAGTACAACATGCTGCATATAATATATTCTTAGTCCTGGGGAGATTGAACTGATGCCATTAATTGCAGTCTGTGCTGGTCTGTACTTACCTGAATAGATATGGTTGATGGTTGACCAATCTATAGCAACCCTGCAGTTAGATGCAAACAATAATATGATGCATATAAATCACTCTTTTGCCAATCCAGCTAAATAGTGCCCAGTCCTCTAGCAGATTAAATGTGCCTGTGGAAATGGTCTGCCTCTTTTTTTTTTAATCAAATTTGTTTCATTAACAGTGAGTGTAGACCTGCTGTGTGGGATGTTTAGTTTTGAAGTTTTATATTAGTTTAATCTAACAAACTTATCTTTGTGTCCTGGATAGAACTACCAAGGTCAGTTCTTAATTTACCAAGCTAATATCAAGAGAGTGAGACATGAAATTAATCAATTTATAAGTTTTATTTTGATTTTATCTGGTTCACACAAGAGCTAATATGTAGTTTGGGAAATGCCTCAACATATGATACTGAATGTTTTTTGTTGAAGCTGATTTTTTTCCCCTTCCACCTTTAATACAGTTTTACTGGCTGAGTGACAAATAAGAGCAGACAACACCTGAAGCATGAGTGGAATTTGACCTCCTGTTCTCCACAGTCACTGCCAATCCAGCGAAAAACTGTAATTAGTTTGAGACTTTAAAATAGCTCACATGGGCCAGGGCGGCTTGAGTTGTCGTTCGGTTAAAACGCATAGAAATGCTTCCTTGAACCTGTCTAAAGTGAAGCACCAAGTCACAAAACACTGCCACTTGCACATTCTTCTTTTGCTGCTTCACAGGCATTCAGAGTGAATGATGCCAAGTCAAAGTACAGTACCCAGACTCACTCAGTCCCATACCCTTTTGTTCAACTTTTCTGTTCTATAAATGCAACTGGATTCATAACAATGTTTTGTGAGTTCAGCTCTTGCGTGGGATCAGATCATATTCTACTTTGCACTGATGGCTCCACTCAAAATACCCAGCTGTGTAATGGGTGACAAATTGTTGCTTTGGATAAGAGTCCGCCTGATTGAATAATTCTTTATCTTTTTCCTTTAACCTGACGCGATTCATAGCAGACTCATAAAAAAAAAAGTTGTTTATAGCGAATATCAGCTGGAATCTCTATACCGGTGGTTAGCACACTGGGGCCTCACAGCACTGGGGTCTTCTGTTCAATTCCTGGGGTGCCATCTGTGTAGAGTTTGCTTGTTCTTCCCATGTTCGTGTGGGATTCCTCCCTCAGTCCGAAGACTTGTTGGTTGGTTAAATGGTTTCTATAAAACTGGCCCTGGTGTGAACGTCTGTGTCCCCTGCGATGGACTGGCGTCCCATTCAGGCTGTACCCTGCCTTGAGCCTGTTGCTAGCAGGATAGGGGCCTGTAATGGATAAAGTTAGAAAATGGATGGATCTATATACTGGAACTCATTCAGATATGGGTTACATTCTGAGAGGCATTAAAAAATGCAACAGATGAGTAATGGAGTCAATAGCCTCTGTTTCGTTTCAATTCCTCTTGGTATATATTCGAGTAGGGTAGCCATAATTATGAGCCCAGTAGAGGAAATGGGCATTTTTTTGGTCATGGATGCTTGTTTCTGTTGTAAGACTCTCCTTGCCCAGTGAAACAACCAGGTATTGATTGTGCTATCGGAAGAAAACATTCTTCTTTTGCTGCTTCAAATTTCTTATAGTTTTGTCCACAGTACATAGGATAAAGAAAGACCATTGTAGTTTAATACCAAGGATGTGTCATACTGTGCATTCAGCCTTTTTAATATGGCACACGAATAGGATGCTGTTGCTTCAGTGAGAAGATCCTGGATTGTGTCTCAAACCTTGGGCTTCCGATAATGAAGGGTTGTAATTGTGACCGAAAGGAGATAGAGATGAAGGTGGGGGTGATGTCAGCCTTGAGAAATGTTTGCCTGAGCCTATCTGAATGTGGCTGTTAATTTTGTAATTTATTTTGAAACCTTTACCGAGTGTGGTGCCGTGTTCTTGTGAGATGAGCTATTTCTGTTAATTCAGCAGTGTGTATTTTTTAGCTAGTTGCTGACAGTGGTGGGCCAAGTCTATGCCCAGGCAGATGGGGAGGACCTGTGTGGAAGGTGATGGCTTGTTCATGTTTTTTTTCCTTTCTCTCCTCTAGGCTGTTCGCTGCTACGATTCTTTAATCTTGAAAGCTGAAGGAAAAGTTGAGCCAGAGTTGTTTTGCCAGCTAGGTCACTTCAACCTCTTACTAGAGGATTATCCAAAAGGTAAGTTTCACCCTGGACTTCTTATTAAGACTTCACGATCTGAATAGTGTTGCTGAAAGCGCTTGGGAAGCTGAAATTAAGTACAAATAAGTAGAAAATGCTGCAAGAATGAGCTCATAAATATTCCTTACCACATTTTTTCAATTTGTTTTAAACTTCAAATGGAAAACTTTACTATGTTTTACTTTATTCATTTGGTTGTGCTGGAGATTAGGATAATTGTAAAATTAACAGAATTAATGTGTACATTTTTATTCTTCTCTTCCACTTTCTACTAATTTGTAACCACATATTAAAAGGACTATTAATTGCTTCTCCCTTATGTGCTCTTTACTATATTAATGCATCAGTAATTAAAACATTAATTTCCCTGTGCAGTTGTTATATTAAATATTTGCTATAGACCTTTTTAATATTAAATTGTTAGTATTGGCAGTTTGCTCAATTTTTTTCCCCAGTTGTTTGGGTTTCACTAACCTGATTGGAATTGCTGGCTCTGGGTTTTTCACATCTAGCCTCATATCACAGCGCGTCTGCAAACCCTACGACCTCAGGCATGGGTGAGGGGAGAACGAGGAAGTATAGATAACTCCTCTGACACCCGTCCAATGTTTGAGCCAATCGTCTTCTCGCATGTCAAAGGCAGCACCACCCCCCTACCGGAGGTCCAGAGCTGTTTGGAGGAGAGGCGCGTTCCTCACTGACTGGGTAGTGCCCGGGAGGCAGCAGGGGTCATTGTATGGCTGAGAACTGACAGGGCTCTGGCTGCTTAATCCCATCCAGGCCATCCTCTCAGACAGCCAGGAGTGCGCCACCATTTGGGGAATCTTGGTCTAGCGACGCAGGCAGAGATGGTTATGACGTGACCAAGGCACAAGTCTGTGATCACAGAGTTCGTGTGTTTCCAACAGGTGTTCAGATGAGCACTCATTGGCCCTGATATGTTCACTCTTAATAGGAGCTAATCTGGTGTACTTCTCTATTTGCCCAGCAGAGGTGCAAGAATGAGATGAAACAGTTTGAAAAGGGTTTTGTAATGTTTAGGGATTTAATCCCATCAGATTGGTTGGATATTGTGCTTGTATTTGCCTTTTTTCTGCATTATGGTCATTATCTCTTAACCCTTATTGCCAAGCAGTCACAATTTATGAATATTTCAATTTAGCATTAAATGCAATGGGAGTGAAAAAAACAAGACCTGTTCCTTAGCGTTTGACAGAATCACACCATCTCTCACCAGTGGAGGTTTCTGAAAGCCGGCGGTCGCTGCTGTGGGGGTGTAATACTGTGGTCAGGCTTTGTGAGCGATTGCCAGGATGAATTGGACCACCTTTTTAAGAAGGCAAAAGGAGAACGGTTGGGTTTAAAATATTAAAAAAAATATTACAAATGAGATGATTATTTAACATACCCAGCCCCTTGCGTAGTCAGTCGGTAACTGATCCCAGGATCTCATCCAGCTATTTCAGGGTATCTGCTTCAATAATGTGGCCGCGCAGCTTGTTCCACACTCCCACATGCCTTTGTGTAAAGACATGCCTCCTTTTCTCAGTTTTAAATGCGCTTCCCTTAAGTGTCCACCTACAGTATGTTCTTCAATATCTTTTTCACTGTTGATTTTCAAAAAGCCTGATGGGTACTCAGATTCTAAATACCTGAATCAAGTACCTTAAAGTCTGTTTTGTTCAAGACTAGAAAGATTCTTTCAGCCTGTCAGTGTACCAGCCTGGACTAAATGTTTTATACAACCTGGTATAGTAGCTTCTCCATGTTGCGCGTTTCCCATCTTATTTTTACAGTTTTTCTGCTGCCTGCATGCCATCATCTGCACTGAATGTCATCTGCCTGTTTGCCCAGGCCTGAATACTGCTGCTTTCTGAGCCGTCAGTTAGAAATGGGCTCGTTAATAGCAACATACAGGTCTCTGTTCCCATATTTGGAAAGTAAACCTTGATTATTTTTTTTTTTCCCTTTTTAAAAATGTTTTTAAACACGGGTGTGATTAAGGTGGGGGCATCGTCGCCCTGCAGGGTTGTGTATGTGAATAATTTGTGCGCGTTGAGGAATGCCATTGATTGTGAAGGCCGTGCTTCAAGTGGCTGTGAGGCTGCGAGACCCGGACTGCGTGCGGCAGTGTTTTCTGAATGTTGGGGTGGCCAGGCTGCTGCACGTGTGCCTCCGCCGACCCCTCGCGTGTGTAAGGGGGTGTCTCCCGGCCAGCCTCTTCGCCTTCCTGTGCTTCTTCCCACTAAATCACCGCCCGGCTGCGACATCCCTCGGCCCGCTCAGGAAGCCCGGAGGCACACTGAGCTGAGCTGCGATCACCACAGTTTGACCTGTAATTTGTTCGCCTCTCGGCAATTTAGAGCTTAGCAGCGGGTTGTACAGCACAGACCTGTTGGAGCTCTTGATAAGGAATATATTTACTTTGTGGTTGAAGAAGCCTTTCTGAAGGTATTAGCTTCTAATTCAGAGTTTTTACTTTGTGGGAAAAGCCCTGTTAACTTTCCAGCTTATTTCTATGGATGTAGATAATTGGGTTAATAAGCAGGATGT